AAATCATAGATAAGAATATCATATTATTGAAAAACTTCTTCATTATACACCCCATTCTCTTTTGTAGTTGAGCTGTGCCACACCCATGCGTGCGTGCAGGGTTGCCTGCAGTCACTAAACATAGCAAATAATGCCCCGATCGCAAAACAAGTACACAACTTGCCCCCAAAACGCCCAAGGGTACAGTATAACGACAAAAGGGAATAGCGCTAGTCAGATTCACTACATGAAACAAAATACATACCTTCCAAGAATTTCAAGCAGTTCCCCTATGCCATTATGACGTTCAGTTTCATAGATGAATCTGTAAATAATATCGCAATGATAAATTAATAATCCTAAACAGATTTTAAAATAATATTAGTAGGAAATAATAATTACCGGTAAAATATGTTGTTAATTTGTTTGCGAATGTATGCTCGTAGTCCCAAAAACTTTCCATATATTCTATGGAGGGTAGTCTTCAAGAAATCTCTCTCACGTGGATCTTCAGAGTCAAACAATTCCAATAATTGCAAGACAAACTTCTGATCAATGTATGGCTTGGCCAGTTGAGGTTGGAAATCAGATGATTCCAAAAACCTTTACAGAGAAACCAGTTATTGCATATATTTTAAAAAGTTTTCTATAAGGGCAGATTTTTTGAAATTCACCTGAGGAAGAATTCATAAACATATTGAAGATGTGGCCAGGCAGCTTCCAGAGTTGGTTCATCTTCTTCAGGATCAAATTCTGCCCCACTAGGATTTTGAGATGGTGGCAGTGTGCGAAAAAGATTCACAGCAAACTATAATAAAATTAATTTAAGTTATGCAGTACAGTTTTAAGTAAAATCAAAACTCCTAAAGGGTTAGATATAACTCATCGGGAAAATTAAATGATATACTAACCATATTAACCACCTCTGGATAGATGGGCTCTGTAATGACACCCTTCTGAGAAGTGACATACTCAACCATCTCACCAAGAGCAGCTCTTTTAACTTCTTTGCATTTTAGATCTGATAATGGCTCTGATGCAAAATCAAACAGCACACAGCATTGCCGAATCTTTTTAACAAAGAGCTCTTCTTGTTCATTGGTAGGTGCCTCTGTAACAATATACATCAAAATAATATTAGCATACTTCTGACATTTTTATTAGGACTATACATGTATACAGAAAACTCCAAATAAAACATAACACAAAATAATTAAAAATAGCTAAACAACACAAAGGAAATCACAGCCCTGATTACTATATTGTAATATAAGATTGTAATTCACCCAGACAGATTTTCCAGTACAAATACTACACTGAATAATAAATTGTGGCATCAGGACACAGGACAAGAAGACTAACAAATGATAGCTTGACATTTTCAACCTGCCACTGCTCCTGCTACCCCCTGGTTCAGCATTCACATACCAAGCAAAGACGGTAGAGGCCTGGCCGCCAGTACCGCGGCACTGTTAAGACCGTTGAGTCCGTTGAGCCCGTTTGGGCAGTTGATGCCGAAGAGGCTTTCATCGTCCGTACTGTCGCGTCCTGGAGGACCCGGGGGCGGAATAGCCACACCGGCCCCGCCCCCTGAACCGTTCACCCGTCCTCCCGCCACGGCTGAGGCCGACGCCGCCAGGTCCAAACCGCTATGGAAACTCGGAGACTTGGGGATGCCGAGAGGGTCCCGGACCATCCCCGCACTCACTTCACTGTGCACCATGCCCGTGGAGAGGGCCGCGCACCCCCCATCAGCCAGGCTGTCATGTCACTCGAGGGGTGCAAGCCTAGGGTGGGCCAGCGCGTAAGCCTCGGCGCGGACGCAGATGGGGTTCATCATCGGCGGAGTGCCCTGCCTCCCTCGTCCTGGACGCGCTCGACAGCCCCCTCGGCCTCGGTGCAGGCGGTGCAGGTCTCTCTCCAGTAAACTGTCAGAGCCACTTGCGTACAGGTTAGGAGCCCCCTCCACTCCGCTTCATGACAGGAGGTCCTGGCCGGGGTTAGCTGCCTCACTGTCCAAGGGCGAGGAGCTTGGAGGGGCGCTCGGAGGGGCTGGCGGTGTCGGGGACGCACTAGACAGGGGAGGACGCCAAAGGGTTGGCACGGCGTCCTTACGCAGCGCTACGCAGATCGACCAGACGCTCCTTCAGGGACCTCCATTCCATCATGGCCGCCTCGCCTCCGCGCTGCCTGCGTGCTGGCTGCCAGCTCAACGCGCCGCGCGCCTGCCAGCTCGGTCGGCCCGGCCGCCAGAGCCGTCTGGCTCCCTCCGGGCTCCACAGGTAGCAAAGCTAGCCGTCGTCCGTCGTCCTCGGCGTGACGACGGGGCGACCCTGGCGCTGGACGACGTCAAGCAGTGGGGCGCGAGTTTCGGCGACGGGGATGACAGCTTACAGCTGCAGCTCGGCTTTCGCTTCCCTCTCGAGGCGTAGCACGCCGACGGCATGCCCGGGGGCGCGACGGGAGCGACACGCCACAGGCCCCACAGGCTGGGGCCGCTGGGGCCAGCAGCGGGGGCAGCGCGGGGGCAGCGCG